ATATTTATGTTTGTGGTTGTAATGTGACAAAATATGGAAAAGTTCAAGGGGTATGAATACTTTTGCAAACCACTGTATGTAGACTCTTTATAGTTTAGAAAATGTCTGATAATGAATTTTAGAAAGTGATTCTTTATTTTAATCTCATATTTTTTACTTTACAGAGTGTGTACAAATGTTCTCTTCACCTCAGTTTTAGCAACCATCTACTGAAGATGCAGTGGAAGTGCAAATACTGCTTTTTTGCTGCAGAGAAAAGGGGATACCTACTTAAACATTATCGCCTAAAACATGGATGTTACAGTAGAATTTCTCCACTTCCTTGCCTGCATGAACAATGCCTTTGTACTTTTAAATCGTTCAATGCCCTCAAGGTTCACCTAGCATCATGGCATACAGAAAAAAATATATCAAAAGCTAGTGACACAGTATTCCATTGTCAACTTTGTGATTTTGTTGAGCCTTGTACTGAAGCAGATTTTTTCCTGCACTTGCGAAGACATTTAAAACTAAAGCAAAAAGTCACCTGTCCATATCAAGAATGTAGCTTCTGTAGTAGCATTTATTCCACCTTTAATGCACACAGAAGTAAAGTACATCAGGGAAACGAAAAGTCAATATTTAAACCTGAGATAACTTGTGAAAATGCAAATGAAGTGTCAGTCCATCCAAGAGTTGTTGAACAGGAAGGTGTTCCAGACCTTGATGATGAAGACAGCTTTGCTATGAGAGCATCAGATGAATCTGAGGAACTCTTGGAGAATCAGTTGGAGCGCAACATTGCTTTTCTTTTTCTCAAGATGACATCAGTACTTAACATTTCTGAAACTGCTGTTCAAGAAATCATAGAGCAGATTGCACAGATATTTATGTTGTCTCAACCACTGATGCATTCTTCAATAAGAGGAATATTGAAACAGCAAGATGACACAATGGTAACAGAGATCCTGAAGGCAKTGAGTGACAGTAATGCATTCTTGAAGTTTACCTCAGCTGGAGGGTCATTGTCAACTGCAAGAARAAGAACATCATTCATTTTAAAAGAATTTTCTGTCGTAATGCCAATTGAGTTTGAACTAGGAGAAAAACAAACAAATGTGTATGTCCCCATACTGAAAATGCTGCAGACATTGTTAAGCAAACAAGACATTTTGGATAAGGCTATGACTGTTCCATCAAATGTGTCACAAGCCTTTAGGTCTTACAGAGATGGTTCATTCTTTAAAGGTGATTCCTTTTTTACTGAAGAGGCATTTAGGATTGCCATTTTTTTATATATTGATGATTTTGAAGTGGCTAATCCTCTGGGGACATCCAAAACTAAACACAAGCTCTGTGCTGTCTACTGGACCCTTGGTAATTTACACTCTAAGTACCGTGCCTCTCTTCACTCCATTCAACTTGCTCTGCTTTGCAAAGTCAACAACATAAAAGCACATGGTTATGGTGAAGTCCTCCGTCCACTTATTAAAGACCTTGTTTTTCTGGAGCAACATGGTGTATATGTGGAAACACTAGGAGTCAATGTAAAAGGCACGGTGTTGTTTGTTGCTGCAGACAATTTAGGAGCCCATTCATTAGGGGGTTTTTTCGAAAGCTTCACAGTGAGCCACATGTGCAGATTCTGCATGGCCAAACGTGAAGAAATACAAGAGAAGGAAGTGCGCACAGGTTCATTTAATCAAAGAACTAAAGAAGACCATGACAAGCATGTTGAAGAGGTGTTGGAGGATTCTACTGTGGCTCAAAGCTATGGGGTAAAAAGAAGTTGCCCTCTCACTGAGAACTTGGAACATTTTCATGTTGTGGATGGCTATCCACCAGACATACTGCATGACCTTCTTGAGGGAGTGGTTCCACTTGAGTTGTCTCTGTGCTTGAAAACATTGATATCCAAGGGATTCTTCACTTTTGACACTCTTAATAAAGCTATTAAGCTGTTTCCTTACACCTTTTCAGACATGATAAACCAGCCTCAGATTCTCTCGAAGAGTTTTTGCACCAAGGGGACCCTAAGGGGAAATGGCCATGAGAACTGGACCCTTTTGCGACTCTTGCCACTACTCATTGGCCAGTATGTCCCAGATGGGGATGAAACATGGGAGATTTTGATGCTTTTAAAAGATGTTGTGGAGATGTCTGTGTCTGCAAGCTTTACTGAGGAGTCCATCATCTTTCTTGACAGCAAAATCTCTGAACACCGAAATCTATTCCTGAAAGTATTTCCAGATGAAAGAATAAAGCCAAAGCATCATTATATTGAGCACTATCCTGAACTTATCAGAAAGTTTGGCCCATTAATTGATGTGTGGACAATGCGTTTTGAAGGAAAACACAAGTTTTTTAAGGAAGTTGTTCGTCATGCTCACAGTTTTAAAAACCTAGCCCTCACTTTAGCTGTGAGACATCAGAAAATGGTAGCATTCCATTTAGCTGGCACCTCTTTCTTCAAGCCATCTATTGAGATTCATAAAGTCAAATCTACAATGTTGAGTTCTTTTCCTGAAAATGTACAAAGAGCTCTCTTTCACATGAACAGCCAGCAGAACACAGTCCTCACAGCATCTTCTGTGGTTGTCAATGGCATTCAATATACTACTGAAATGATCATTTCAGTTGGGTCTTGCTCTGGATTGCCTGAGTTTCAGGAAATTGTAAACATTGTTGTCATCAACACAAACGTCTTGTTTGTTTGCAGACTCATGAGTGCATGGTACATTGAACATTTCAGATCTTATGAACTCTGTAGTTACCATCTACCTTCTCTTGTTGTCACTCAGATTTCTGAACTGAATGACGTTTTTCCACTGTCAGTGTACCAAGTTTCAGGCAAAAAACTTGTCAGTCTCAAAAGATTCATTTTATGCTAAAGATGGAAGCATCAGAATCTAATGTTTGTTGTCTTTATTCAGGACGAAGACATGGATGAGCCACTGTTGCTAAGATGCATTATTGATGAAAGCGATATAAGGAAAGTTACCTTTGAACAAAAACCTGACTCAGTTGAGGAATTAMAAAACAAGCTTAAAGACAAGCTACAGCTTCAATATGACTTTCGGCTGCAATATGAAGACCCTGATTTCAACAATTCCTACTGCAACCTGACAGAAATTCAAGATTTACCCCAAAGGGCTACTTTGAAAGTCATCCCCCTTATAACATTGACTGTTACAACTCTGTCACCAGTCCCTGCATCTGACAGTGAGGGAAGCTCGGCTGATACAGACATTCTGCCAACTGCTGGAGACAGTCCTCTGTCAAGTAGAAAGCAGTGGCCGGAGTTTTTTGATATTCCAAACTTTGCGGTAGATGTTGAGTACAGACTTAGGCAGGGAGACCTTGCTTTTATGAGGGATGGCACTCACATGAACGTGCCCCGTGACATGAAACACGACATCCTTGAGAAACTTGCAGAAACTATATATAGCTTCAAAGCTTACCCGGATGACAAGGACTTCAGCAGCGTTGCTATGGCACTTGTCAGTAAGCACCCTGGTCTGACAGAGCCTGGTCCTCAGCCTGGATGGTACGGCTGGAAAAACAGCCTCAAGTTCAAGATGGGGAATTTTCGCTCTAAGCTTCGTAAAGCTGGGTGCGATGATGTGACAGTCAACGGTGGAAAAAGGAGCCAGATGAATCCTGAAGGGGAGSCTTCCAACAAGAATATTAAACGGCCAAAAAGAGGCGAAGTAAATTATTTTCCAAATGTGCCACAAGGCCATAACGAAGAAAACATTGACAGTKGTYGAAAATGTTTGGTTGAGGAAATGAAGAAGAAGCATCCAAACGTCTCTTACATCGCACAAGTAATGAATGACACATTCCCGATGCGCAGACAAGAAATTGTGAAGAACGAGCCGTCCATCCAATTAATGATTGCCAGATGGCCTGCACTGTTCACAGAAGGACAGGTAAGCAACTGAAATATGGGCACTACAGTTCTTTTTAAATTTGAAATTAACAGTTTAAAGGACTAAAATATTTACTGGTTCTGAACTTGTCTCTGTATTGAATGTTATAACATTTACTATTCATACTGGATGGGGTTAGTCTGTTAGTCGGTTTTCTGGTCTAAATGGGTTAGTCTACTCTCTAGTCTGGATGGGGTTAGTCTTGTCTCTGGTTTGGAGGGTCAAGGGTTAGTCTGGTCCCTGAACTGGATGGGGTTAGTCTAGTCTCTCGTCTAGAGGGTCAAGAGTTGGTCTGCTCTCTGGTCTGGAGGGTC